TGCCTTGATAGTCGAAGCAGACTTTGTGCTGTTGAAGCTAGAGAGGTGAGCAGAGTAAGTCTGATTCCCTGTAAGGACTTCTCTGTTGACATCCACCTCTCGGTGCTCATATGACCTTATGCAGTTGTGAGCGCCGTAAAAACTCTACTATTAAAAAACAAAAAAACCCAACTTTATACGCTTTCCAATGATTGTCGTAAAACTTCAGTCTGAAACCTCTGGTTCTCTCTGTCCTGTTTGTCATCTTGTCCTGACGGGATTTCTTCTTCTTTGCGTTCCCGGCTAGATCTCAGGTCAGTCGACTGCTTGTTTTTCAACCTGCGGTGAAACTGATTTAAATCATGACGACCTACACTTCTATCTCTGTGTTCATTTCTTTCCCAAGACTTGATTCTTTTCTTCGCTTCTTCTGTAATTACTTCCTAGCTCTCGTGTTCCCTCCCTCCTTTTCCTCTTGTATGATACCACGTGTAAGCGTGCCTGGTGAAAGGTACCCAAAGACACTTTTGTTCAAACCGAGATGATATCAGGCTTCATAGGTCAAAAATAGAATTTTTGACAAAAACAAAGTTCCTTTAAGAATGGATTCTTGAGATATATCGGCTGTGATAGCGTGCCTCAGTATTCTTTTGTTTTAACACGATCCGACATTTACAATTACTTTTTATTGTTATTGAAAAACTGAGAAAGGATTTAGGAAAGGAAAACATCTAGTTTCACTTTGTCAAAGCGTGGGTTTGGGGAAAAACGAGTGAATTAGTTCTTGCGGTGTTGCATCAACAAAATGATCTAACCGGACTCATTATGAATAAACTCAAACAAAAATAGGAATATTGCTTTCAAATAAAAAGCTGCGCATTCAGAAATGTATGGATTATGCTCTTGGCCTGTATATTATGATTCACATGTTTGGTGAATGTAATCTTTTCAGTCAAAATGTATTTTTCTCATCAACATCGCCATTTCTAACCCTTGTAATGCATAGTTATTGTTTCATTTTGGGATGTATTCCTCATTCAATTTCCTTCACTTTGATGTATCATATGTTACGTTTTGAGTGATGGCTATAATAATAATAATATGTTACGTTTTGAGTGATGGTTATAATAATAATAATAATAATATATAACGTT